ACTACAAATCACTCTGGACATATTTTATAACCAATAAATGATCTCCATTCTTTTTTACACAAAGCTAACCCAAATTAATGAGAAAAACTACCGTAAAAAATTACTGTTGATTACACATGATCAGTGCATACTACACCAAACCATGGGGGGTACGCCTGATTGATGGGCCCTCGGCAGTGTACTACCTTATCAATATTTACTTTTTTCTGCTTACATTTATATAAATTACAAATTAAACTAAGCACAAATGACTATTAAAGGATGAAAAATTTTTTGCAGATTTTGACGTCATTCTGAGGTGTTTTTGCTCTCATCCAAACTGTGAATTTTTTTGCTGATGCTAAATCTAAAAAAAAAAAAAAAACACTATCTAAAAATCATTATTTTTAATCCATAATCCATTGAATGTTTTAAAATTATTCAACTTTTTAACAAGAAAATTTTTTCAAGTTGATGTTAAAAACTGCCACAAAACAGTGTTGATTTATTTAAGATATAATGACCTATTATGACGTGTCTAATTTGTATCTAGATACATTGTATTTATTTTTAATTTTTCTAGTTGAATCTTAAATAAATAATATTATAGAATACTCATTGCAAGGAAAGACTCCAAATATTGAAAGCTTTTATTATAGAAAAGAAACAACTCACATTAAATAAAATATCTTTCACCACAGTAGATGGCATTTTGGAAATCCATATAAAATATTTAATATACATAAAAAGCAATAATAGTATGGATAAACATTTCATACATTCTTTTCAGGTCTAGCTTTGTGTCACCGTTTTACATATGAGGTCACTTTCGACTAATTGGAATCCTAGTGCTCCCCAAATAATGCCAGGATGTAACCAACAAAATCTTGTTTACTGCACAGACAACACTCAAGTCTTGGTAATGACTGAGGTAGCCAAAAGCATTAGCACAAAACATGACTTAAGACAATATGTTTACAATTTTGATCACAATGTACACCATCTTTTTTGAAAATTGGAAAAATACGATAAAAATTCAAGTTAGACAGACCGGTTAGTTTAATTTAATAAATGTTTTTATATTTAATAAATGTTATATATATATTTAATAAATGTTCCCAAAAATTTAAAAGATAAAATACACTTAACACCTGCATCCCCACCTCCCAGTAACCAATAAAACTGTCAAAAACTACCAAGAAGGGATTTCTGTAACTCATGAACCTCACCAGGCTCTATCTTAAAAACAACTTGAAAGAGGCCGTTTGAACACAAGGAGCAACCAAAAATAATTATAAAAAACAAATGAAAACTACAGATAAAATTCATTTTCTTCATAAACTGTCATTTATTCCTGAAGTTCACTGTTACTAACAAGCAGAATTTTTTTTCTCATGATAATGGCCATGCTGGCCCAAAATAGTCAAGGAACCTAATTGAAATAATTAAACAAAAAATATACAACCCAGTGCGTATGAAAACTATACAACCCAGTGTGTCTGAAAACTTTAATTTTTAATATTTTTTATTGTTCAAAACATAAATATATATATATATATATATATATATATATATATATATATATATATATACACAAAAGTATAGGATTGATGTATATGGAATAAAATCCAATAACCAAAAAATACTATTCTTAAAAGAGTGCTCAATACAGAGTAGAGCAAATATAATTTATTCGAAAATTATAACATAAATATGTTATAAAATCACTACAAAAATATGTAATGATGTTGAATGCAAAAACATGTTCTACATTCAACACCATCACTTGATAAGATATCAGAAGTGTTGAAATAAAATGGCTATTTTTGTAGTGATTTTATAACATATTTATGTTATAATTTTCAAATAAATAATTATATATATATATATATATATATATATATATATATATATATTGATGAACACACTCAGATAGATAGATAGATAATTAATGCACTGAGATAACCAGACAGATAGATTTTGGAATGATTAGAGAGATCAAAATAAATTAGGCTGAAATAAATTAGCCTGTCTAAGTAAAGATGTAAATGACAGATCAGAATAAAACAAACAAATAAAAAAAAGAAGAAATCCTTCAATAAATCTGTTTATCAAGATTGATTGACTTTTACAAGAATAGATTAACAGAATGCTGAAGAAGAAATATTAGATTAATATGCAAGATGCCTTAAGAACCTCCTAAAACTACATTTCCTCTTAGATTATTGATTATCTTGCCATGTGAAAGAAACTGCAATGGCACCCCCTCCCGGCCAGCTCACTAACATCGACACAATTTCCCTTGTATAATCATATCTAAGTCTATTCATTTGTGAAGATGATGCTCTCTTTTAAAAGGTCATGTGCTACACCTTACGCTTCTGGGGACATATACATTTTAATGAATACTTCGATATGTGAATGTGTCCTTATTGCTATATGATATAAAAAATTCAAAACGTCTAATTTTTAGAAATAATTCATCACCTCAAAAATCTAACCTATGTAAAAAAAATAAGGTTGTTTATGAAAAATAAAAATCTCCTGTGGGAGAGTGTATCTCCAACACTAACAATCAACAAACAACATTAAATTCTTACATTGGCCACCCAAGCACCACACTCTCACGTAGGTTAACTTGTCAAAATTGAGTGCAACATATAGATGAACATATAACAAATAGACAAAATAATATTAACATTAGACAGGCTTTAATCAAACATACTAAAATTTTATACAGAATACAGTGTGAAAAAGACTCCAAATTTTGAAGGCTGTTGTAATAAGACAAAAGCAGCCAACATTGAATAAGATGTCTTTCTCTATAAGAGACTATATATTGAAGTGTGTTAAGAAAAACCAAAAACACACACACATAAATATATATATCATGTATATTTCATTTCTTTCAAACATTTTAAGTTGAATGTGACAGACAAGGAAAATTTGATGAATTTTTTACTGTTTTTTAATGTTCTTAAATTTTTCTGTTTGCTGAGACTAAAGGAGTGTAAAAATTGTCTATAGTGTCTACTGTCCAAAGCACTTTTGAACTCTTCTTTACCCATTTTCGAGAACTTTATTGTTAAGTGTTATTAATTTCTTTTCATAGTTGTCTTTAAAATGTAGTTGCATGATGGCTATATAATAGTAATGTTTATTCTGAGCCTCATGATTAAAATATGGCTGGAATTTGAATTGGCAACTTTATATTTTATAAAACTTTGAGCACATTATTTCCATTGTTAAATAAGGTTAAATTAATACTGTGTGCCAGATGTTATATCATTTTCAAAAAAAGTTTTGCACATGGGAAATCAAGCAGGAATCGGATTTTTACTAATATCATCTACAATGAATTCATGCCAGCCACAAGAACCACCGTTGTTGAGTCTTCCGAGTTTCTCTGTTTATTTCTTGCACCACTGATGAAGGACACAGGCGCATCTGAAAATTCTGGACTAATAACATTAATCTCCATGCTTCATTTCTGTCTTGTGGTTAATAATATTTAATAAATGTTTTTTGCACTGATCACATTGGTACTTGCTGATGTGATCTCCATCTTCTGGCTTTCTCCTTCAATATTTTGAATAGGAGTCATTCCATTATTCAAATTTAAATTTAATTTAAATCAAAGGGAAAAAAATTTTCTGTGGGGAGTTTGTGCCCCCCATAGACCCCCTTTGATCAAAATGATATATACTTATCCAAGTACCCTAGGAGTCATTCCCTTGTTCAAATTTAATTTATATCAAAGAGAAAAAAATTTTCAGTGTGTGTGTGGTGGGGCTGTGCCCTACAGGGACACTCTTTGATCTAAAGGAAATATACATATCCAAGTACCCTGGGTAATGTAGTTTCAGAATATATTATTATGGGGTCTATCTCCAAAACCCTAGGAGTAGTTTGATAACAGACAGACAGTGGCTAAAACTTTATATATATAGATATATTTTATTTAAATTTTATTTTTAGTGAATACTTATATTTGAGTAGATGTTGTGTTTGTTAATTAAACAGTATATTTATTTTTGCCTACTGGCCTAAATATTTGAGAAATCTTATTAGAGAAAAATATACGCTGTCCAAGAGTCAGGGACAAATGTGTTTAAAGGAATTATCTATGTTTGGTCATCAGTGCACTCTGTAGCTAAGAGATCAAAACACATCAGATATAATGACAGTTTCCCCTCGGGCACTTCAAGGTGGTGTAATGGTTAGCAAGCTTGTCTCGCTAGAACAATTACGACTGAGTAGTGAGTTCAATCCTCACTGGGTGCTCCATACTTCCGGCTTTGTGCCACATCTGAGCTACGCTTAGGAAAAAATGGGTACCTTGAGTTGGTGTAATGGTTGGCAAGCTTGTCTCACTAGAACAATTATGACTGAGTAGGGTGTCCCATACTTTCGGCCTTGTGCCACATCTGAGCTATGCTTGGAAAATCACTATAATGAACAATTTCCCCTAAGGGAATGCAGGTTCAAATCCTGCCAGAGAGTGTATATTCATGCCATTAGATGAAAATAAATATACTGTTTGATAAACAGAGCGTCTACTCAAATACAAGTATCCACTAAAAATAATGTTTTATTAATAAATATCTGTTGGATTAAGAAATAAAAAATTCATCACCTTAGATATACTAGATTTACTAAGATTAAGATTTTTTTTTTTACTGATAATTCACCTAATACAAAGCCCAAGGGTCACTCAAGGTAGAGGGTTACTGTGTGAGATTATAAGTAAGAGTTAGTTGTTTTTGTTTAGCAGCATATCAACACCTCTATGGGTTATTTAATATGGAAATCTAAATATTTTGTATGCAATTTTATTTTTATCTTTTGGGAGATAATGGTTTTAGTGATACAAGTCTTACTAATTAACCCATAGCTGGGGGAAGTAGATTCATACCTTTCTCAAGGGTATGTGGGTGTAAATGAATATAATGAACTGGAATTTGAATATGACTCTTTCAGCCTATTAACCATTACACCACTCATAGATCCAAGCTTACATACCCTGGTATTCCCAAGCAGTCACACATCTAGGTACTGACCAAGCTCAATGCTGCTTAACTTCAGTGATCATATTGGAACCAGTGTTCCATTGTGATATAAACATAAGCTTGTAAGGAAGGAGGAAGAAAATTAAAGACCTAGAGTTAAAGAGACCAGGATTGTAGTTGCCAGGGAAGTATTCCCTCGGGAGTTTGTTCCATTTAGTAACAGTTCTGAAGCAGAAGTTGTCTGAGTGGAAATTACTCCTTATCAAAGAAACACACAGGGAATGAGGATGATTTGTCACTATAAACATGGCATCGTAAGTCCTACTTGTGACGGTCTGAATGGGTGAAACTAAGGAATATAATTGCTATAGTAATAGATATATAATAGTGAAAAGTGGGTGATATTTTGTCCGTGGGATAAGATATCTTGGCAGAAAGTCTCACTATAGCATGGGATAATGAAGAAAAATCTAAGAGAGCAAATATTTCAGCAAACTACTTTCCTATAAGTAGCAAAAATCTACTAATCTTAATGTCAATCTTGACAATCAATTGTGAATAAATTCATAAAATACTCATTAGTAAAGTAATTAAAGTCATCCACAAACAAATCAACCGACTTTCACAATAAAATCCCATGCAAAATTACATAAATATCTTCGTCATCACTACTAGATAATAATGTATATAAATATTAAGTCTGGCACAAGGTAACAATACTTGAGCACCCAAAGCAGATAGAATTTACTACGTTAATACTATTTACAAAACGAGCTATAAAAAATCTTGCTGAACAGTGTTTTTCAGTAGGTACTCTAAACAGGTTATCTCTAAATTTATCTTACTCTGGCACAAGGCCATGCAAGTAGAGCAACTAGTCAGGATCACACTCCATGTATTTGCATGTACAGATTATCTGTATAAATAATTCAGCTCGCTGGCTACTTTATGATTGCTAGTTTCTTATGAGTTTTGTATATCAAAAGGACGACAGCCATGTGGTAAGAATGTTTGCTTTCTGACCATGAGACTTGGATTCAAATCCTACCATATTGACAGGCATCTACAGTCAGCCATGATGTGGACTAAGGCTGCATTACCCTAGATAGGATATTTCTGGTAATATTAAATAGTTTTATACTTTCACACTGCAACAGTGCACAAATCATCAATACTGTGCATAATTGAAACTGGTTGCTCAAAAATAGCTGTCCTTGTACCAAACTTGTGTGGCAATGATTCATACAACACTCAGAATTATTTTGAGTCATGATTTATTTACTTAGATCACGGCTCACTCTTCTAGAATTAGTCTCTGTGGACATTTTTTATGCCATAATTTGCAACTGACTTGTTTTTTTTTGCAAAAGTATCTAATAATTTATTAATATCAGAAATTTTAGATCAAATGACACTGTATTATATTCTTGTGAAAAGCTATCGTTTGCATAAATTTCTGGCATGTATTTTGAGTGTCTGCTTTTTTTTTAGTTTTTATTTTTGACCTGGAATGATTTATAAGAATTTTCAACATTCTATAACGACTGTTTATTGATTTCCTTCACGCAACATTCAGCGACTTAGAGATAGTTTACAATAGCACTTACCTGTATAACCAAAATCCTTGAAAATGGATAATAGATCGAACAAAAACTCTCAGAACTAACAATCATTTGGTCAATTTCAACACATGCTCAGTCCAAAAAGAAATGTCTTGTTCTCATACAAGAAAAATGTTATAAAAAAGACTTCGCAGAAGTACCTTGTCAGTCATTTTTAATGGAACATGTATCAGAGAGGAATTATTGGCAAAACTTACCTGAGCCAACATGTTTCAGCATTTGGTGGACTTTATCGAAATCCGTTAGCTAAGATAAGTTTTTCTTCTGTCTTTATTCTTATTAGAAATATATTTTTTAATTATATCTGAAATCTTATATATATTACATACACAGGAATTTAAAACTAATTTTAAATTCCTGTGTATGTAATTTATATATGCTCTGTTTTAATAAATATATTAAGCTCTCTTTGTGGATCAGTTTTAATATTTTATATTATATTATTACGATTCACTTGGATTATATACCAACAGATGTTTACCTATATATATATATATATATATATATATATATATATATATATATATATATATATATATATATATATATTTGAATAAAGACAGACCACGTTAAGATTCCATGTAATAAGCTATTTCACCATTTTAACAGGGTTCTGGATCATCAGACTTTTACTTCCAAAAGCTGAAATGAAAATTGGAAGTAAAGTCTGATGATCCAGAACCCTGTTAAAGGGGTTAAAATAGCTTATTACATGGAATCTTAACGTGGTCTGTTTTTTATTCAAACATATCTGCTCTGAATTTTACATTGAGCTCTCTGGATATCATCCTCCTCAGGTCTACCCATACGGATTACCTAAATTTGCATAAACTATATATATATATATATATATATATATATATATATATATATATATATATATATATATATATAAAATTCAGTCAAAAAGATTAGTCTAGTATTAATAGCACTAGTTTTTAGTACTTTTCTATCACTGATAACTTAGTTTCATATATATATATTTTGTCATCCACAGACTGTTTTGCTGTATCACAGCTCTTCAATGTGGCTAGACATCTGGTTGCCTCTAGATAGGGTCAAAACCCAGATATATATATATATATATATGTGTATATATATATATATATGTGTGTGCTTAAAGCCACTGGTTCTTGATCAATTCTTCCATACATTAAAATGTTCGTTAAAACACATCAGGTTCCCTAGCAGCTTCCAGTTCATTCCTTGGGCCTGGTAGTGCTAAAACGTTGCATATTCTGGTTGAGAGAAAGGAACAGTCAAGTAACATAATGATGAATAAGACTGGTAATTATTAACTGATATGAAATATTCCATAAGCATAGAAAGTGAAACATGATCAACATGTTCATCTTGTTTGTTACACTAATAGTTGCCAGTTCAATTCCTGGGTCTGGTAGTGCTGAATTAATGAGTTTGGTTCTAAATTCAAAGGAAGAAGACTGGAGGATATAATTGCTGAAACATTGTAATATAGAATCAAAAATAAGCATGCAGATCTTAATAATCATAATTCTTCATCTCAAAAGTTCGAACTGAAAGGCTTATTCTTTTTCCATTTTAACCAAAAACATACATGTATGAATCACCTGGTGCAATATTTTTAGGATCAAAGTTGCCAGGAAAGCAAGAAGCTAGAAGAGAGTTCCACAAGTGAGAAATGAAAGAAAACAAACTGTTAACATACAACTTACAGTTACATCTTGCCATTTCAACTATAAAATGATGAAACCTTGCCACCAATCTAGAACTGCAGTTAAATTAATAAAGTAAAAAGTCAATCCAAACAATTACCATGAAAATATTTATAAAAATGCCACAAGGAAGCTACATTATAGCAATGGGAAAATGACTGAAGCTGAGGTGCCAGGTCAGGACCAATAATATGGTTAATTCTTCTTTGAATTTTATCAAGAATATCTAAATATATAGCAGGATCACCAGACCATATGTAGCAGAAATATTCAAGGCATGGACGTTGTAAGATAGTTTCAGGAGAAAAAAATTGTCTAGCACAAAACAGTAAACCAACTTCTGTAGTAGCAGACCTCACAATTGATTCAATATAATCTTTCCATTCATGTCAGCCAAGAATGTAAGCCTGAGAAAGTATGATTCACTTTCTTTGGGGTTAGTATCAGCCATATCGATAGGAGGTAGGAAAGGATTTTTAAGGATACTTTCTATTATATATCAGGCATATAACTAGGTTTGATAAGGTAAAATTGGTAGCTAATCTCAAAAACATGAACTGGAGCAAGAAACGGCTTTTTAATTTTAACACCTCCTAAATGCAACTGCTCTCTTTTAATCATTTTAGAGGACCTTTCTTTGCTTTCCATCAGCAAGGGTGATGCTAACCTCCACTAGGTGGCTCACTGCACCTTCACAGGCTAACATTTTTCACTGATATGAAGTGGAACAATTGTTAGGTCTGTGGCTGCAAAAGTTGGTTCACTGTTGTGAATTTATTTTATCAGAATCTATCTTACACTTTTATGAGGCTACCATTTGCCCATGCCTTGAATATCACTGCCATATCTCATCCGGTGCTTCTGCTATGTATTTAGAGATTCTCGATAAAATCCAAAGAAAAATCTGCAATGTTACTGGCTCTGACCTGGCATCTCAGATTCAGTCACTTTCCCACCACTGTAATGTGCTTTTTTATAAATATTTTTATGGTATTTGTTCTGGTGAGTTTCCTCTTTAGTACCACAACTTTATATATATATATACTAGCCGAATTACCCTTGCCTTGTTGCATGTCACACATTTTTTCTCTAAGAAAATGATGATTGTTTTTAAATCATTGCTATAATTTGTGGAGAAAAATGATGCATTTCAGTATTACTCAATGATCTTGACAATGTGACCTCCATCTTCTGGCTTTCTCCTATATTTTGGATAGGAGTCATTCCATTGTTCAAATTTAAATTTAATTTAAATTAAAGGGAAAAAAATTTTCAGTGATAGGGTTTGTGCAAAAACAGCTTGATCTGACCCCTTTGATATTTATTTGATGCAATACTTGATTGAATGAAGTGATTAGCAGATTTCAACATTGACATTACAGTTGAATTGTCACAACAAATATGTATTGTAAGGCACTATCCACTGATTGGTGATTTCTTGATCAACTTGATGTCTGTATTGTCTCATTTTGATCCTGCTGTTGTGACCTCTATCTTCTGGCTTTCTCCTTCTATATTTTGGATAGGAGTCATTCCCTTGTTCAAATTTAAATTTTATTTCAACCAAAGGGAAAAAACTTTCAGTGGGGTTTCCCCACACATCAGGCCCCACTTTGATCAAAATTAAATATACTTATCCAAATACCCTAGGAGTCATTTTCTTGTTCAAATTTAAATGTAATTTATCTCAAAAAAAAATTTCAGTGTGGTGGGAGGACCCCCCACCTTTCATCAAAATGAAATATAGTTATCCAAGTACTCTGAGTAAAGTAGTTTCAGAATATATATGATTATGGGGTCTATCTCCAAAACCCTACAAGGAGTTTGATAAAAAACAGAAAGAAAGAGGCTACAACTTATATATATATTATATATATATATGATGTAATGAATATGCATACACCTGGGTTCCCCCTCACAGTAATATGATTGGCTGGTGTCAGCCATAAATACCGTCTGATGTGGAGTTACATGGACTACGCCTATTGTCTTCGCCTATTGTCTACCACTATGACAAGGACCAGTCCATTACAGTTACCTGCTAGATTGTCCTACCTGGTTACAGTAGTCAACAACCACTTTGCTAATTTGAACAAATATATCCCTGTCTGGGACATATCAATATATATTGAAGTGCAGCACTAGATTAGCAGGTAGGTCTCATCATTTGACAACTGAAACTGCTAGAGGTAATCATAAGTTTTGTGCTAGCTGTTTCTCCTATCACATTTCTCACTTGCAGAACTCTTTTCTGGTCTCTTGCTTTCCAGTCAAATTTGATTTTCAAAAATTTAAATGCAATGTCAATAGTCATCTTCTATCATCTTAATTCTTGTTCTGTTATTTATCTCTCTCCACAAGGATTTCTCACATATTCTTTCACACTCAGTAACCTCTTGTGTCTTAATGGCTCTATCATTTTGTTTGGGGTGAAATGATTAAAAACGAATACTTTCTATACATATCAAATATAGCTAAGATACTTTCTATGAAATATCAAACATAACTATTGATTCATTCATTCATTTTCTATGGCTGTTCTGTGTCTTATCAATTTTTTTATTTAAAGCCAGAAAATATTTTTACATTATAAGAACTTTCTTGGAGATAATAATGATTTAGGGATTTAAGTCTTATTAAATAACCCATAGCTGGGGGAAAAAGGGGTGAATCCATAACTTTCCCAAGGGTATTTGTGCATAAGTGAATATAACATACACAATGGGAATTGAAACTCGGTTCTCTGATTAACAATTCCAAGCCATTATCCATTACACCACCTGCACATCCAAGCTTACAGCACCTGGTATTCCCAGGTGGTCACTCATCTAGGTACTGACCAGGCTTGATGTTGCTTAACTTTGATGATCGTACAGGAACCAG